ATTCTCACATTCAGCTCCCTGAACCTTACAAAATGAAGCCACTATGCTCGCTTCTGGAGCTATCAGTAGGGACAACATGGCATAACACCAGTCTTAGCAATAAGCAATGGTCAGACAGTGTGAGTTGATATGCCATTGGGGGTGGGGGGGCCGAGGCTGGAGGGTCGTCCTATCTAACTGCCTGGCGTCTTGACTGGGATATGTGGGATCCAGCTGGTAGGTGCCAAATGGTTCTAGGGGGCTGCTGGCCCTGCCCTGTTTTCCTCTGTGGAAGAGTGTTGAGCTGGTAGGAGTTGGGCCAGGCCCATAGTGACTCTGCCAGCCACTTCAAGGTCCATTTGTTAGCCATGGCCCCGCCATTTTGAGAAAGTACTCCACTTTGGTTAAACAGTGGACATTTCTGGAAACCACAGTAATCAGCATTCCCAAACTAAAGTAGCTTGTTTTTCCAGATTCCAGCCATCCCCCAGCCCCATTTCCACCCTTCCTCCTGCAGGCCCCTGATAGGAACTGGCCATCACAGAGTTTTAAGGGTCACCTGGCCCTCTTCAGCTCACCAGTCTTTCATCCCAACTCTTCCCTGTCCCCATCTAGAAACCTCTCTTCCACAGGTTTTCTTGGAGTAAACCTGTCCAGTAGTAAAGGTCTCTCCTTTAACAGACCCCACACTGGCCACACTGTCCCCGCCCCCCACAACTAGCTTCCCTTCTCCCTCACTTTTGAGCCTGGGGACCAGGGGCTTCTTCTGTCATACATACAGGGCCAGACCCAACCTGCTCGTGACATCTTCCGGGGAGGGGGGTGTGTTACTCACCCTCTGGTCTTGTGTGATGTTGCTTAGCTCCTCAATAAGCTCCCTGAGGGCCACAGGGGGATTTCTGGATCTTGGCACTGTGCCTGGGGCAGCAAGACCACCAAGGCAGGCGAGAGCCAGGACTACTGTCACCCAGAGCGCCATGAAGCCCAGAGCCAAAGAGAGAACCAGAGCCAACGAGAGAGCCAAGGAGCAGAAGAACCGTAGGCTGGCCTAGGCTGGTGGCTTGTGACCTTAGCCTGTTGCAGCAGCTTTTATAAGCCCAAGTGGTGACGCCTCGCCCTTGGTCGCTGCTTTGTTGGGCATTATCTGAAAACCACATCTTTACTCATCTTGATTTTTTTTTTAATTTTTGCTTTTTTGGAAAATCCAGTGCCGTCTAAAGGAAAGAGTCTGATTTAGTGGATTTATTGAGAAGGGTCTGGGACAGAGAGTTTCCTAGATAGTGGTGGCTTATTTCCCAGGTGGGCATCAGCAAAGCCAGCTTCCGCCTTAGTAATTCCACCCAATGACCACCCCAAGCTCATGGGCAGCCAGTCCAATACTGACTCCTGTGGGTCACTAAGTACCTGGCAGTATCAGTCTACTTCGAGAACTGGGGACGTTCTCTTTCCTTTTTTTCCCCCTTCTTAATTTCAATGACCATATCTCATAAATCATCAAAGGACACAGAATTCAAACAGGACAAAGAGCGTAAGGAAAATTCACTTCCGCCCAGCCCACCCTGCTGCTCCTTCCTCAGTCTCACAAGTGGGAGGGATTAGAGAAGTTCATACTGTACAAAGGTTTACTGAGATGCAGCCAGCTCAGGTATTCCCCTGACATTGTTCTGATGCTAATTCTGCCGATGGGCGTCCTTCTGTCCTGGCCATTCTGCTAAGACACTATAACTAGCTGGGTTGGATAGGCAACAGGCTGCTCAAACTCCCGCCCAAGTCAGAGAGCATGACTGTGCTGATATGGCAGAGACCGGGTCACCACACTTGCCTCCCACAGAAGCAGTGCTGGCCCTCCAGGGCCTCATATTTCCCAGAATGTTCAGGAGGAGAGAAAGGCAACTCCTGGGCCTGTCTCCTGCAGGCAGCCTTCAGCTGCAGGGGTGCCAGAACATGGCCTTTTCCCTACTCTTTCCTCATATTCAACTACCCACCCTCTGCAGAGGCCACAGCATTTGCCTATTGGGTAGTGATGTCAATATGCACCCTCACCCACTTCCTCCCTTAGGCCAACAGCAGCCCCTGCATGCCCCTCTCTTCTTTCTCGGACTGTCCCTGACCCACTTCTCCTGAGCCAGACTCCAGCTTCTCACAAGCGTTCTCAAGTGACTCTGGTGCCCTTATGCCTGCACGACCTAGCCTTGCCCAGCTCTCTCCTCATTGAGAACAGCATTGGCAGCTCTGGGTCCAGAGTGGAGGCTTCCTGCCTGTCTACAGACCTGGGAACTGAAAACATGTCTCTACCCCTGGTGGCCCCACAGGACCTGGGCGTGCTTTGTCTAGACAAGTGACCCCTGTGGGGACTCAGTTTCTCAATTTGGAGGACAGGGCAGATCCCTTGGAGGTCTCCTCGGTGGGGGAAGGCTCGGGGAAACACCT